GTAGTAATAATCTTATTTTTTTCATCTGTCCATGTTTGGCAATCAACTTCATAAAAGTCCTGATATCTATGGTAGTATCTTTCGAAAAGTCTTTTCCTCTTCTGGGTTATAAGTAAAACTTTCGATCGTTGACCATATTGTGTCTTGGGAAAAATATTTTCATCCGAGTCTTTCTGCTTGGACAGTATAGCTTTATGTATAAGTTTGGCCATTGCTAACTGTTTCTTTTCATTTTCTTCTTGTATTTTGTGTAGTTCAGAAATCTGTTTTCTTTTTTGCTCTTTCTGAAATTTAAGTTGTTCTTCTTGAATTTTAAGTTTCTTTCTGAAAACGTTCTTCACTCTCTTGCTGTCTTTGCATCTGATACTTAATGAGTTCAGCATAGTTGATTGAAATTGCTCCATGATTATGTATGTGTAGAGAAAAAAAAGAAAAAAATTATGTGTTTTTTTTTTTTTTTTTTCTCTCTGAGGGGGCCAAAAAATTCAAATTTTCTGGCACGATTTTTTTTTTTTTAGCACAAAAAATTGGTTATTATAGCTTCCAATTTAATGAATAAGTTAATGTCTAACTTACAGTTTTTTCTTTTTGTCGATAACTTGTAATCCTTTGCTGTAAATGCTTGAACTCTTTTGAAATTTTTCCGTGTTTAAATCGGTTATTATTTCTGTTCAACGAAGCCAAGTCGCCACTGTTGAGATGTTGTGAGTTTGGGAGTGTTTCGTGTGTATGAATCAAGACACACAGTTGTAGAGGAAAATACTGGTATATTCATAAAAGCAATTAACAATAGAGTGATTAGTAGAACGAAGGTTGGTTAGTAAGAAACAATATCAAAGTCTATAGTCCAACGATATGTAATAGTAAGCTTATCTGGACTGCTCACGCTGACTCTCTCTCTACACTCCCCCAACTCTCTCCAGAGCTGACTTATATAAGAGGGACCAGTCCATTACTAGTTAGAAGGTGGGTGCGCCCCAACAGTAAGTGATATACAACAATCGGTAGTTTCTAGACACCAGCAAAAAATGGAAACTTCTGTTCTACCGTTGTAAAATATTAGCTTCAGCTAATATCTTACTTTTGATAATCCTAAACCTTGTTTGCAAACAAAAAGGTTGGCTGGCCAAATATCTTCTCAGTAATTAACAATGTACTGGCAATTTATGTTTGGGCATTGGACTGTGAATGAGTAAAACCTTGCCTGGGACATTATCTGGCCAAAAATTGTCCTCAGACTTTCCCCCTCATTTTGTTTTACGTTGTGAAATCTATGCCTATGCACAGCCTTGTGCAGGCCTTTGGAAACGAATATGTATGTGTCCCAGGAGTTGCTCTTCCATGGTTGTGTTGAGGGTTCCGGGTCCGTGCCATGTTTAATAAAAGTCTATTCACTTCCTTTGAACAATTCCCCTCACCTCAGTTCGTTCCATCGCCAGACTTGTTATTGAACACATGTGCTTATATCGGGTCCCAAGTGTCAACTAACTTTATCCAGTCTCCTTCAGTGTAACCATGCTCAATAATGGGTCTGTCTGGTTTTTTTAGTGAGACACCGGTTTGGTAATGTCCTCCCTGTGATAGCGAAACCCAAGTTCGTTGTTCTCTCTCTGTAGTTCAATCAATTGTTGAACCAGTTGCAAATACAGTTCACTACTGCCTTGTTGTCCTGAAGCCATTCCCATTAATTTTCAAATTAATCGCATGTAAAAAATATTTGAAACATTGTGAATAGCGCCATGGACAATTGTCGATAAAGCCAAGTCATTGAAAAACTGATATTCTAATAAAAATTTATACTAAAAGAGGACTACCGGTGTTCTCAATTAGATAATTTGTCCACTGTCTTATGTGATCTCTACAACTTATTTATGCTCTTTCCAAGCGAAGTTAAATTTTTCTGTAAGAAACTTTTGTCAAAAATGAATAATAATTGACAATATTTATTCTAAGAAATTTGAGATAATATTACTACTAAAATTACTTGTTTATATAAATGCATTTAAATGACAGTGAATTGAATATTTGGGAAAAATAAAAAATGAAAGTTATGTGGTTTAGATTTGACCTGTTGCAGCTAGTAAGCCTTTATAGCTTAATTGGTAAAGCAGCTGTCATGTTAAGACAGATTTCCTAAGGGAGAAAGAATAGGAGTCTAAGACTTGCCAAAGGCTTATTCTTTAATTTCAATCTATATTGTTTACTAACAGATGATAGTTGAAGAAGTTGTGATAAACAGCAACTGAGATTAAAAAATATAATGTTATATGATAAGAATACATGACTAAATTTTTCATGTGTAAAATAATCGTTTCTTTACTTCTGGACACTATCAAATTAACATTGGCCACAAAGGGTATATGGTTTTGTGAACTGTCTTTGAACATTCAATCTTCTACCTTTGTTCTTGTGGGGTCAGACATTTATATAACATCCTGTGAGTCAGGCATTTATATAATTTTTTGTCATCCAGTTGTCTTGTGTGTGCAAATCCTAAGTTCAGCTGTGTTCATTTTATATTTACATTGGCACTCATCATTTGAATCTTGATTCTGCACTTAGTTGCTATGAGAACACTTCTAGCTGAAGTCTTGAAGCACTTAGCACTTTTAACATTTTGAAGTGAAATCAAGTATAAAGTTTGTTTTGGTATCTCTTAGGGTAAATTCAGTACCCACTGGGGTCACCACAGATCAACTGCTCTTAAATCAAAAATTCCTGATTGACATTAAATTTGATTTAAACCTCTGGTATTTCCTGCCATGAATCACATATTACAGAAATAAAAGTTGCAAATTAATGTAAATAGATGTTTATGGTATCCTATAATGCCTACTTGTTTTATAGGTTTGTAAACATTTGGAATAATAGTGTATTTTTTTTTTTTTTTTTTTTTAGGAATTACAAAACTGCTTTAAATACACATAATACACAATATAACCTTGTGCCTTATAGAATACAAGATAGCATCTAAATGTGATTCAGGCACACTTGTTTACAATGTATTTGATTTGTTTGCTGGTTTTTAGCCATTAATGAAAGTTGCTCTATAACCATAACCTTGAACCAAAACTACATTCAAGATAATATTTTCAGCAATGTTTAACCTTTGTGCCCACAAAAAATTATGTCAAAAGGATGGTTATTCCATTGAAACCACTATTATTGTATACACTTTTGATTCCCTTGCAGTGTTTGTTTTAAAAAACAATGATTAGAATCTTGTTAAATCCCAAACATATAAAAATGGATTTATACATTTTCTTTATTCTTGAGAATTGCAAAAAAGATATTAAACACTATTTATTTACTAGATAGCTTATTTACAAAAATAATTTTATATTTACAAGATTATAAAAATATGTGAACCAACTATAATGAAATATTCATTAGTTATCATTTTATAAAGAAATTAATATGAAAATAATTTTTTTATTCATGAACTTATAAAAATGTCTGTGAAGAAAATTTAAATAAAGACACAGCAAGTAATTGTAATTATAAATTTTGAAAAATTAATTTTCTAAGAATTTCTTTCATTTGCTCTTATCAAAAATTTAGTAAAATCTCTTGTCAAAAGGACAGTTATTCTTTTGACACTGTTTTTTGCAGGCATGAAGGTTAATCATTGCCCTATTTTCAAAATAGTTCAGAATTTAACAGATAAAATGAATATATGCACAATATAGTAAAATTGATTTATTTATATATCAATAAATAAAATAGTCATATTTTATGCATCTACTAAATTATAAAATTATCTATTAAATTCCAGATGCTTATAGAAACAGATATGGATAGAATGCTTTTTTATAATATAAATACAAGAAATTAGAATGTTACTCAGTTACTTCAAATATGTTTTTCCTCAGATCTTTATAAATTCTTTCTTGTCCAAGTTGTAGTAACATCAGAGGATAAATGAATTTGATTGTCATATATACTGACAAGTATTGTTATTTTATAATCATTCTTTTTCAAATCTTATAGAGACTTATGGGCACACATACACATTCATCTCTATAATTAGCTTTCTATAAACCATCCTGTGAAATTCTGTGTGTAACAGGATGGATTAAATTTATCCTATTTCTGAAATAGAGTATTTTTTTATTGCCATTTTCAAAGTAATGTCATTGAAAAGCATATTCTTCATTCAACAAGTTAATAATTTTAACTCATTCACCATTAAATTCTTGACTTTTTTTTCTTTGGCTTACTAAAAACTCCAAGTATTCTATAGAACTGGTAGTAGCTGATAATGTAAAAAGATATTTTTGTGCTGTTTTGTTTTCACAGCTTACATCTAAATATACAACATTTTATTAAATTTGCACACAAGTACACAGCACTACTTTTTTTTTTTGAAAACTGGGGACTGAATATACAAGAAAAAATCTATTATACACACCTAATAATACTCATAGCCATTGTATATTCTATAAGTAGGTAGATACTGTTATTTTGGTTTTTAAGCTTTCAAAATCAATTACATATTTCCTGCAGGAGCAATTTTCCAGCTTGTATCATTTAAAAATTTCATTTCTGCATCAGAAAAAAGGTTTGTATTTTAGTCGGTTTAATTTGATCTAATATACATCTGCTAATTAAAAAATGTATAGGATTTCTTTTAACTTTTATCTGTAAAGAAACTTTTTGTAATATAATGATTTTTAAACACTAATTAGTTAATTGATAATATGAATTATTTAAAATATTTTTTTTCTATAAAAGCCTAAGATTAATGGCAAAGTTGACAAAAAGTCTTTACTTTTTGTCAACTTTGCCATTAATCTTAGGCTCACAGTGTAAAAATTTGAACATTTCCTTTTCTAGGTTTATCCATATTTTGTCATGTTAATTTTTCTTTTATAAATAACATATTTAATTTCCATTTTGTCAAAAAAAAAAATAAAAAAGTTTTTATGAATTGTTTTCAGTTTTCTAATGTATTTTTTTTTTTGTTTCTGCCATCTGAAAAAAAACAATTTAATCCACAGGGAAATGATGTCAGTGTGAAGAAACATTCTAAAGAATCCCTTCATCATCATATTTCATTATTAGCCATTTATGTTCGAAAATTAGAAGTTGCGTTCTTAAATATTCAAAAAGATGTAAAGGTAGGTTCCTTTTTTGCTGTATTTCCACACTTGCTGTATCATTATAATTTTGCTTGTTCCTCTGTTACTGTTAGTAAGTTAGCACATGCATTTTTCCTTGCCATTAAATAATGGAACATTCTGTTTTGATAAGAAAAGATAGAAGAAAAAGACTGGTTTTGACTGTAAATAATGTAATAATAACAACCAACAATAAAATAATCAATAACGGACAACACTATAAACAGCAAAAAAACAGCATCTAAACCCACAATTATTCTACTCAATAGCCCCTAGACCTTTTGCCAGAAAAAAAAATTCACATTAAATGTTATCCTTTTTTTTCAGGATACGAAAATCACAAGTGACAAAACCCATTAGACATAAATATAAATCTTGCTGCAATTAACAGAGTAAACAAAATCACAAAATAAAAGATGAAACTGAAAATATACAGACAAAAGGATTTGCAAGAGATGTCAAACAGGTTATTCCATGAATTGTACATGAAGAAATTGATGATGTAAAAGTTTAGACACAACATAAATTGATTAAAATATTGGCTGTTGAATTGCAGAAATTGATAACTAGGTAATTGGTGTTCTGAGACACAGACTATCATGTCATCTTTTTATAAAAAAAAATTGCATAAGGACAGGTAATTAGCTATCATTGATATTGTGACCAGTTACAATATTTTAGGGTTCCAGAACAGATATAGCTCTTATTCCCCACCCCTTGACAGTGTTGATGGTCATTGGATACAGTCATGATCTCTGTTTTGTTTTATTTAGTTTCTGACCAATGATTGTACTTGTTACTTTTCATGTAACATTTACAGAAATACATTACAGAACAATGTATTTATGAATAAAAAATATTTTGTCACCTAAGTAAAAATGATAATTCATTGTTTTAAATATGTTTTCTTTTTTATTGAATAAAAATCTTTAGGAGATATATACAAATTTAAGACATTCCAAGCTGAAGTTAAATGAACTTTGTATGTTTTCAATTTCATTAAAATCCCATTTAGTATAAGGAAAACAACTTTTTGTCACACTTAAGTCATCAAAGTAATTTTAACCTAAGGCTAGAAAGGTAGTAGTTTGCTTTATAACTTCCCACAAGCATGCCCCATGTTAGCAATACTTTGGAAAATAACATGTATACTCATTCTCATTTACAAAAATAAGATTTTTTTCTTTATAGAATGAGTTCTTACAAAACAAAAATGTAATTACTTTGAATGGAGCAATGTTTTTATTTTTCTCTCAATTGCTGCATATTGTATGTTGCTGATATAAAGTTTATCTTTTAGAATGGCTGTGTTAGTGGGAAAATATTCTTATTTCAGTAAGGTATATGCAAACAGTTAAATGTTTTCAAAATGTTTTTCATATACTCTTTTGTAATTTCTTCTGTTTGCAATGTTAGGCTGATAAGTTTTGAACATATACCATTTTGAACAGTTTTGTCATTTATTCATTAATTTAATTTGGAAAGGGTGTTTTTATTTTATTTTTTGTTTTGTTTTCTTTCAGGAGAATAGTAGAGAAAATGCTCGTCTTGAAAGTTTAATTAATGAAAATTTCTCAGGGTTGCTGGCAAAAATGGCGATATTGGACAAATATGCCGAGACAGAGTTAGAGAACAAGGTGAAGTTATTTCTTGAACAATTTGTTTTTATTTCTAATTTAAAAATTAAAAGCCAACTTTTTCATTTTTTATCATTTATATAAAGATACTGGAGCAGGAGTTGAGGTATATTTTCTAACTTGTTTAAAACGATGTCATTAAAATCATCAAATGTATATTCATATTACAATAACTTTTTATTTGCAAAGATCTCTCTTTAAAATATTTAAATGGATTGTCTTTAATGTCGTTTATTAAGACATTTTTAATGTAAAAATTTCACTAATTTAAGTATTTAAAATTTCTTCTTGCATTCGTTTCTTCAATTTAGTTTACTATTAAATTTACATTTTTCTTTAATCTTATATTTATTTTGTATTTTATCAGAAAAAGTTTGTGAATCTTAGTGAAATGTTCATTGCTCATAATTTTGAGTTCAGAAAATTTAAAGACGATGTTCAGCGACAGCTTCATAATGGACAAAATATTGGTACAAACCAAAACATTAACACTTTGATTGGTAACTTTCTTTTTATTTTCTTCTATCTTCAAATCTCTTTAAAAAAATTTATCCTATTGATAATCAAATATTAAATGCTAATAACGATAATCTACATCATAATAATCTGATTTGTATACAGGTATACTTATTTTTTAGTATCCGGTAAAAATGGCACATCATAGAGATTTCTCTTAGGATGATACTGCTAAAATTATCTTATGAATAAACCAATTTCCAGTCTAACTTGCAACTTAATAATAGTGTGAAATCTGTGTTCATCATTGTGGTAATAATCAATTTCTTACAGGAAGGGAGAAAAAAAAGTAAAATGATTACTCCATAAAATAATGATACTCATGAAAAAATGATGTTAATTCTTTTTTATTACATGTTCTTATATAGAAATAAAATTCTTTTTACAAAATAAATGTATAATTTCACAGGTATTATTTATGCAAAACTTATTTATCTGTTTTTTTGTTTTTACCATCAGTAGTTGTATGATATAAAATCTTCTTCCATTGTTAAAAAAACTTATATTCTAAAATCATTACAAAATGAAAGAATTGTATTAGCAATCTCATTGCAATAAGGAATATTGTTTGTGAGTTAAATTAGGATTTTTTTCATAATACAACTGACCAAAAATACTCTCCCAAAATAAAAAAAAAAAAAAGTCTTATGTTTGGTTATTTGGTTAGATTTTCGCAATTGGAACAGTCTGAGAACTTTTCACCACCTGCTTGTAAAATTTATATATTAGGTAAAATAATTAGGTATTGGAAATAGGCAATTTGAGTACATTGATTCCAAAACAAAAAAAAATTGTAAATTCAAAATTTTATACCAGAAAATAGTAATTTCCTGTTATTTAAGATGAATTTTATTAAAAATGTAATGTAATTAATATTTAACAATTAGATTTCTTAGAATATTTTTTCCTGTGGTAATATTGATATCAATGATCTGTTCTTTTTAAAATAACTAATCTTTTTAGATCACATGAGACTTTCATATAGCCCAGAGTGTCTTATAACACAGGGTTGTATGAAAGTCTCAGGTGATCTACAAAGATTAGTTATTTTAAAAAGAGAAAAGTTGTTTAATTAAGTAGTGAACGTTAACCACATAGATTGAACTTTATGCAGTGAAAATTTCAGGCAAAAATTCATTTAATAACTATGGACTTGTTGAACTATTTTTATAATGTTTAATAATGTGCTCTGTTATTTTTGGATTGTACAAGAGAAAAATAGTTAACACATCAATTTATAAACTTGACCACTGAGAACAATGTGATTAACATGTGATTGTTTCATCTATTTTTCTATTTTCATCTTGCTTCCAGAACAAATTTTGGAGCAGACATCTGTGCATGACCGAGAGATTGGAGTTCATGATGTCAGGTTAGCAGAGATGGACACTCGATTCACTTCCATGGAGATACCATGTTATGATGGAAATTTTGTTTGGAAAATTACCAACTATTCTAAACTAAAAGCAAATGCAAAAAATTTAAAGCAAGTTTCCCTCTACAGCCCACCTTTCTACTCTAGTCGCTATGGCTACAAAATGTGTGGACGTCTTTATCCTAATGGAGATGGGGAAGGGAAAGGAACTCATATGTCTTTTTTCTTTGCTCTAATGAAAGGTGAATATGACAACACCCTTAAATGGCCGTTTCAGTACCGAGTAACCTTGACATTGGTTGACCAGGTGGATGGCACAAAGAATTTGTCAGATCATTTTGTGGCTCAAGCAAACAGCATCAGCTTCAACAAGCCAACTTCTCAGATGAACATTGCCACAGGATGTCCTTGTTTCATTTCTCAGCAACAGCTTGATGAGGCTCCATTTTTAATAGAGGATACCATATTTTTAAAAATTGAGGTTTCTAACAAGCAGGCTTAGTATATCACCTTTCCTTCCTTCAACACCAATCAAAGATACTTTACAGTTTTCTGACATTCAGAAAATGTTTAACAATTTCATGTTATAGAAATTCTGTTCATCCTTGAAATTTGAAGAATTTCTATACATGAAACTAAGAAAACCCTACTGTAGCTGTTTAAATGCATAAATAATAATATTAAGAATAATGATAAAGTAATATATTAATGTAATTTGTCATTATTAACTTTGATATTTGCAGTACAATTTCACTGTACTTGTGGACCTTTTTAAATTTGAAATTCAAGGTGCACAAATAGAGATGCACTGAAGTTTTTACTGGAATACAAGGGTGAATGCATTTTTTATTTTTATTTTTGCTTTGCAACTTTTTGTTAAATTCTTTTCTTCAAATAATGCTGCACTGAAGTACACTACATCACAATTAGTTGCCTGTTCAAGTGAGCATCTCTATATTAACTGACTAAATATAATATGTTGTGCAATTCTGTTATGTTTTTTTTTTTTATATATATATAAATCTGATGAAGAAATGTCATTTCTTAGAACTCTTAATAGTTCCTCAAGTGAAATGCACTTGTGAATTCAGTTATAATTCATTCAAATAACAGCACTGTTTGTGTTGAATTTGTGCTGTTGTTTCATTTTCAGCAGGTTTGCTTTGTGCAAAAAAGAAAAAAAAAATAGGCAAAAAGGAAAGATGCCAGAATAAAATTTGACAGAACAGGAGATTAGGCAATGCAAAAATTTCATTGCTGCTCTGTATGCAGTCTACTACTGTATTTGGAATTATGTCAAGCAATCATTTCAGAAAAATTCTCAAAATACAAAGAAGAAAAATCCAGTTACTTCTTGCAATGAATTGTAAGCAAAAATATGGAAAATAAGTGACCATAAAAAAATGTTTTTACTGGTTAGATTAGCTGATTTCTAAAAGTGGCTATTTGCTCCTATAATATATATTTCTTGTCTGAAGCAAATTAAGTCAGCTCATCATCAGTCCCATGACCGAGTATGGTTATAGGGTCACTATACAACTGAGTATCTGACAAGCTAGTCACATTCAGATTAATTTCTAACATTAATAATAACCGTCATCCAAAAGATGATATTCCAATTCAACTATCTATTAAAATATCATTTTTTTCAAGAATCTTAAGTTAGCATCATGCTCACTTTGAATTTAATTGGTTGCTGAAAAATTCTCAGCCTCACAAAAAAAGCTTTTCCAAAATAAAATCTGATGTTTGGTCAGATTTCGGGAGGTGTGTTGGGCTGAGAAATTTTCGTTAGTCCTTTCATCATAGAAAAGAGGCTTCAAACTTGACTGAATCCCTACCATAAAGCAATGGTTGATATACTGGCTATACAAATAAAGCTCACCTTTGTGGTGAATTTGTAATTTTCAGTCCTGACACTCTTCAATATTTCTCCTTGAATAATTTGTGTTAGAATCTTTTAAATAAGGAACTATCATTATTATATATTTTATTATTCAGATTTGCTTGCTCATCTTGATTGTTACACTCACAATTTTTCAACAATTACACACTTCAGATGTCTGTCATTGTACTTGGTAACCTTGGAATTTTGATCTGAACCCTTTAGTAAACCAGTGAATACAAATCAGTCATTCACCCTTGTCTTCCTGGTCTGTTTCTTCCACTGAACCAGAGTATATGACTTTTCAGCACTACAAGTTCAATTCCTGGGTTTGGTAGTGCGATTTGGATTGTAGAAAAAAAAATCCCTGGTTTCTACAATTTATGGGCTAGAAGTTATTTTTCATTCAAAATTAAACTTGACTGCTGGATATTCTCAACTCTGAGTGAATATTAAAGTGACATCGTCTGTGTTAAGATTAAAAATATTAAACTTAAGAGGTAGATATTTTCCTCACAATTATGGAACATTGAATAAAACCCAAGTTTCATGAGACGTCAAACCCTCTAAGCAAGAAGTTGCAAAATAGTGTATCTCTTGACACTCAAAAAGCAAATATCGCTACAAGTATTTTACTAAATTCAATCACGTGATCTGTTATCCTCATTGTGAACCATGTCAATAAAAGAAAACTAACGCACAACAAACATGGCCATCAGCATAATTATGCCAGCTACAGCTTAAAGCTTTACAATTGAGGTATTTGGGGCAATCAATACACAGCAGAATTCACTGTTACCACTTACCAAAATAAGACTGCTACAGCTTCTCAAAGTTTAGGACTTCAGGAAGGCCTAAGCTCGTCTTCATTATTCAACTGGATGTTGCAAAATATTTGCAATTTTTGTCATTGTTAAAGGGAAACAACTCCCATCTGGGTTTTAAAATACACTACTTCTAACAATAATTTGTGCCTTTTATCTGACAAAAGAATTGTTTATTTACTGTAAATGATTAATATTTGAAAATGAGTTGTTTTAACTTTTAAATTTTTGTTTTTATTTTACTGGTTGTTTCTGATTCTTCTTTTTATATCACCCAACAAAAACAACTTTCATAGTCACTGAACAATTGTTTTTGAACCAGTTCATCCTCTTTTATCTATAATTAAGCACATGCAACATAAAAAGGCTGCAAATTTGAAATTTTAGGGCCATAGGTTTATGAACTGTCTGTCTCATATAGGTGAATCAGTTACATACCATTTGTCTAGATTTAATTAAATGGATAGTACATCTTGTAAATAATGAGGAACCCACTGAAGTGTGTTTAGAAAAAAAATTTAATTTGAATTTCTGAGATTAGAAATTATCACTATTTACACTCGGACTCTTGTACACATTGTTTCATCCCTTGTTCCCTTTGGCCTTCATCAGATGCTTGTTTATCTATCAGGTCATCCCATAAGTTCTGTCCGAATTTTGAATAAAGAAAACAAGTGACCAAATGTTACATTTAATTACAGATTCAATCAACAATGTATTTTCCCTGATTATCTATGACTTCCTTCCATCTATTAACAAGCTTACTAATTCCATTACTGTAAAATTCTTTTGGCTTTGATTCAAAGAACTCACAAATGTCAGTTTTAACCTCTTCCTGTGTTACAAAAGCTGTTTCTTCCAAATGATTCTGTAAGCTACGAAACAAATGGTAGTCTGAAGGAGCAAGATCAGGAGAATAAGGTGGATGGGGAATTTTCTCCCAACCAAGTTCTTCGATCTTTTGTAGCATGATTCTTGCTGTGTGGGGTCACGCATTGTCCTGATGAAACATCACCTCTTTTCGATTCACTTAGAGCATGTCTTTTTTTCATCAGAGCTTGGTTCAAATGGTCTAATTGCTGACAGTATATTTGAGCATTAATTGTTGCATTAGGTGGTAAGAATTCAAAGTGGATTATTCCTGGGCGATCCCACCAGATTGAAAGAAGAACCTTTTGCCCATGAAGTTCCCTTCTCGGCAGTGGCTGGGGTCCTTCCCCTTTACCAAGCCACTGTCTATGATGCTTAACATTTCGATAAAAAATCCATTTTTCGTCGCAAGTCACAAGTCTATCCAAAAAAGGTGAAACAAGATGGCAAGAATGGAGAGAAGAGCAGATGTCTACTCGGGATTTGAGGTTGTTTTCAGACAATTCATGAGGCACCCATTTTCCAAGTTAGGAACTTTTCCAAGTTGTTGAAGATGACGATGAACAGTTGTATGGTTTGAACTGAGAACCACTGCCAATTCCTCAACTGATAAAGCAGGATTTTCTTCAAGTGCTGCTTCAAGAAGCTTTTCATCAAATTCAACTGGACGTCCGGTTCGATCTTCAAGGGTGAAATCTCCACCTCTGAATTTTGCAAACCATCTTCTGCAAGTTCTTTCATTCACACATTCCTCTCCATAAACTGAGTGAATGTTTCTAGCTGCTTCGGCTGCTGAGTTTCCTTTCTTGAACTCATAAAGTATTATGTGCCTCAAATGATTCTTGGGTACTTCCATGTTAGCAGGGTTTTAATCAAACAAAATTTAATTTTGTTCTCTGAAATAAAATTTGATCAGTTTAAATGCATCTAAACATAAAAATAATGTTCAGCTCTATTAGACATTATAAAATACGCTTTAAATTTCATTCATTTTAACAAAAAGTTAAAATTCGGACAGAACTTATGGGATGACCTGATAGTAGCTTTCAGGGAATTTTTAACCGAATCCTTTCTTTAATTGATGGCCATAGATTGTTCTTGTTTCCCTATCCATATCTAAGGACATCTTGTTTTTATTTAATACTGTTTAATTATTGCTTGCCCTGTTTCCACTGAGTCTAAGTCTGCACTACATGTTACTAAATTCATGAACCAACATTTTAATTCACTAGCAAGCACCTGATGAATGCTGGAAGACAAAATGTTGTAATAGCAACAAAGGTGAAGACAATAGTTCAAGAGAAAAAAATTTAATTTAATTTGAGGAATGTTAGCCAAGTAAAATGTTCTTTCTATTTTTCTACTGTAAAGTTAAATGTTAAGAATTATTGTTTTTATTAAAGCAAAGGCTACAGGACCTGCAATTTCTTATTTCAATGTAAGAAAAATAATAGTAGAAAACATTAAAATCCAAATTAAGAAAGAATCTACATTTTGAGGAGTGTTAGGTGGATAGAAATATAAACCAAATAATAAAGTCGATTTTAATGTAAAGAAAATACTGCTTAACCATTATTATCACTTCTCCAAGAGAAATTCAGTAGTTCTGTTACTTTATTAGTAAGTTAATCTTTTATTTTTCTTCTTTAGTTGGGAAAAGGTTTGGTGTGTTTTGTTTCAGCATTATAATCATCTTTCAAAAAAATGTGGTGTTTTTTTTTTTGCAGCAGCAGCAATCAGTTTTTATCAGCTTGAAAATGTAAAAATAAAATACTCTTAAAAATAATTGCAAAATATTTGGTAATGTAATTTGTACATTTCTAACAGGCACAAGTTTTTACAGATATAGATACCTACATAATTGTCATTTTCTATTCAGAAAACTATGCTCATCTTGGTTGTCATACTCATGTTTCAACCATTGTACCTTGCAGCTTTCTTCAAGTGCTATTCTCAGTAAATGTCTTGCTTCTTCACTCTATTCCAATAGAGTGAATAATGGGTTTAGTTCAGTTCCCATAAAGTTCCCAAGTACAATGAATACCTGAAAAAGGCCTGAGGAGTCTACAATGTCTGAAACTTGAGTCTAATAACCAAGATGAGCATTATTGTCAGAATAGAAATGTATGTAATTCCTTATCTCAAAACTTTCTGACATAAAATATCTGCATAATTGTAATGTTTTTAAATTTTAGAAATTACTAACTTATAAATGCTTATTTCAGGCTTCTATAGATGAATATTTTTAATCTCAAAAAAAAAAAAAAATAAGTAAAACTCTAAACAGTTTTTCTGCTTCATGTTTGTTCACAAAATCAGTTTTTCTGCTTTTTTTCTTCTTGTTGGTGCTTCAGAAAAAGATAAAAAATTATTAGTTACTTTTTACTGTATTATGTTGTGTGTCATGGTAATTGTTTGCTAACTTGATGTGAAAATTCCCAACTTGGACTCTTACACAATGTTAATAATTTAGTTTAACTTGGCTTTTTATTGTGAAATCACTCCACTATGGTATATTGTTTACAAGCTTGGAAAATGGATTACATATGAATTTACAGAAAGGAATGTCAATGAGCATTTCAACACTTAGCTTCTCTGCTGACCAAGAATAATAAAACATTTTGGAACAATATAGTTACTCAAAACAAAAATCTAACATAGAGATAATCCAAGGGTAGACCCTGGACTTTTTTTTCAACATTTCTAAAAGGCATTTGTATAAAAATCTTAAAATAATTTTTTTTATACAAATGCCTTTTGAAATTACAAAATCCATAATCAAACAATATCAGATGTTGCATAACATTTTTAGGCTAGAACAAATTTAAAATTTAGTTGACATCAAAAATTAACTTTTTTTTTAATGCAACATTTAAAATAAATGTGATATATTAATGAATTCAATAGATTTATCTTGCCCAGATAAGTGAACCTGTCTGCAAAACTTAGCCAGGAGATAAGGCATTAAAATTTTTATTTTATTATTGTTATTTTTAATACTATTATCCTCCAGTAATTTACTGGTCAACATTTTTACAATCTTTATTATTACTAATATATATTGCATTGATAGATAATAATCAAGCATCTTGTATAAATGAGATTTAGCTAATTTCAAGATTTTGAAGGCATTTGAGAAAGTATACAAAATTAAGACAAAGGCATCTTCAACTTTCTGTAATCTCCACTTGAGAAATCTTTTTTTTCTTATTTGTCAAAACCTTTTGACTACTTGTAATAGTTGAAAGATTAACTATTTTCTTTTAATTATTTTTTTCTCATATTTCTAAAATATTACTTGCCATATAATCCCTTCTATTGTGCTCTCCAGTGAAATGTAAAACTTCCATGTTTGTAAACATAAACCTATCATCACTTTTATAATTTTTTTTTACAATGAATAAACTTAGTTATGAATTTGTACAATTATTAGTATACATGAAACATTATCTATCAATATTCAGAATTATGATTAATCACTCTTAAGAAACTATGAAGGAAAATATTTTTCTTTTCTTGGTTACAATATTCCTTCTAATTTTTTAAGGCCAGCTCTCATGTGTCATGAATATAATTATCCAGGTAATTAAAAACAGTAAATTTAGTGACTAGATATACTCAGAGAGCAAAGTCATCTTCTCTCACTTGACTCCAGTGAACCACCATATTTTCAGTCTTTTCTTTTTGCATGTATTAAATGAATGGTTCTGAAAAATAAAAATTCTACTCTAAATGTATTTACAAGCATAATCCCATAGATTATAAAAAGATCAACCAAGATTTACAGTTGAAATATGAGAGTGTCTACTGAGCTTGTTTTGACATCATTAATATAAATAACAATCAAATCCACAACAAAAAAATAAGGTTTTATTTAAAAATCTATAATAAATTTATTAACAGATTCCAAATAAACTGGAGATAAATATTGTGGTAATTCTTTCTTGGTCACCCAAGAATAATCAATTATTTCTGGACATATTTCAGAAACATTTCCATCTTGATGAAAGGCTTTGAAGAAAAACACCTGAAAATAAATTGGGAATTTTTAATACAAATTTTATGTATTAAAACAAACTTCAGTATACTTTGAGTAGTTTCAAAGAAAAAAAATTATTCCAATGATAGGATTAGATAGGTTTGCCTATTCATTATTTTTTTTCTCTCTCTCCTCCCGCAATAATAGATGGGTTCACCCATCATTTGGTTCAAACTCCTCCCTGGTTTTTGATCAAGAGTAGAGGTTTATCCCTTGTTTTCTGTTTAGAATTGGGTTTCTGGTTCTTTCTAAAGTCTACTTTCACACGATACTTCTAATGTCTATGACTGAACTCTGAAATATTATTTACTAATTAAATCTTGACCTTTTAAAGTTTACTGTTTTATACAATAACCCTCTACCTTGAGTGGTTCTTGGGACTTGTACTGGTTAAACATTAGTATAAAAAAAAAAATATTGCATATTTAAACTGATAACAAATAGCATGTCATCATAGGTGATTTCAAAATTTGAACTGGCCTAAAAAGAAAAAGGGAATTAAACCTTGATTACAAATAATGGATTTCATTTAAAGTAGCTTTTAAATCGGAAAGCAGATATTGTTTCAAATACAATTCCTCAGAACTTACAGATCCTTTATAATGTAACATTTGATTTCCTCAAAACAGATATAATTTTCATTAAATGCTTCATTTTACTTTCTAATCTATAACTCAAGTTTTATGTAGAAAATACATTTACTACTCTAATCTATTCAATTACTTATTTTTGTGCAACACAAATTACACAACAAATTAATACCCATGAAAACCATCATTAAAAAAACAATCCTCATAATTAGTTATGAGTTAACAGACAAGAAACGAAGCCTGAAATGCTACACTTTTTTAAATCTTTATATGTGGATATATAACCACACAAGGTATTAATTTGTCAAAATTATTCTTTATTATGTGAAAAATGAACGGATTTCAGTAACTTATTAGGTAATAATGACATGTAAACTTGGCATGAAAATAAACTAAAAATTCGCTTCATGACACATCAAATGCACTTTTGATAAATAATTAATAAAGGATTTTAATCAATAATTTCATGCCAAACTTTCATGAACCTTGCCATTTTTAACTTCATTACCTCCCCTTAAAAACAACTTTTCCAAGCCACAATGTGATTAAAAAATGTCAGTGTTGCAAATTTTATAAGAGTACCTCAGCAGGATTAGAGACCAATTAACTTTAATGATTTAATAAAGAAACTTATCAGTCATTGTAATTTCTGGATGGTAATAAAAATGAATTAAAATAAAACTATTTCATAAAGATTGTTTAAAGGGCAATCAGGGTATAAGTATCTTTACTTTTTCACTGAAAAAAAAAACAGCATAGCATGATAAAAAGAAAAAGCTCCAAACTTAATTAAAACAAAGTTTTATCATTAAAATGTTATTATTAAGAGAAAAGAACAAAGTATTTTTTTAATACTTTATTAAATTTTTAAGATTTTGGCTAAATTTTTTTTTTTTTTTTTTTTTTTTTTTTGCAACATCATATTTACAATTTTTGTTAAAAACACATCAATTTGGAAATTCTTGCAAAAAATCAAATAATTGTCAGATTTTAATTAAACTTTCTGGACCTATTTATAAATAAAATTATTTTTGGAATTTTTTGTTTTAGAAAAATCTTGGGAAAAAAAATTTTTTTTTTTTTCACATATGTTGCCCTCCACTTATTTAATCTCATGAAATTTCAAGAAATTAAATTTTCATCACAAAAGTTATTTTTATTAGTTAAAAGCAGGACTCCTTGGAGAATGTGTAAATAATCAATTTTTTTTCTCTCATAGAGCTACTCATTTCCCTGAATTTGTAAAATAAAAATGCAATAAAACTGACATTATTTAATTAGAAAAGGTTTTAATTATTTTTATAAGATTTATTAAGGACTATTGATTTAAGAAAAAAAATTTTATAATGAATTTTTACAAGAATTGTTTTCATTTCTTTTTTTTAATTATAATAATTTATTATATAAAAAATAAATTCTACATTAGTTTAATCTCACTAGGTGATATTGTTATTAGGTGAAAACTTTACTAATAAAAAATGGTAAAGCTTAATACAAATCATTTTGTACCAAGATTTTTTTAAATAATTTTAAATTTTTTTATGTATATAAAATATGTAACGTGCCCATTGTTGAAAGTACATAACATTATCAGAAAATAAGAATAGTTATAGTAAATTTAAAGTCAATGTTCCTAAAATTAGATTACAGAGAATATTTTCCAACATTATTGAGATTACTGAGTACTTAAAAATTATATAAAAAAAGGCACTTATTTTAAATGTTTTACAGATAAAGTCTCCATAGAACAACAATCATTATATCATGACCTGTCATTGCCTTGTCAATTACATAAAACATGATGTTGGTTAAAAACATAGCTACTGTTTTGTGTAAAACATACATTTCTGTGTTATTTTAAACTTAAAGTAAATAATTTTTTTTTTTTTTTCAAATCAGATTAAATTATACTTTAAATCAACTAATATTCCTCAAATAAAGTTTTGGAAGATTTTTAATAGAGAATTACATTGCAATGAAAATCTACTACAAAGGGTGCTAAGCAGCTATTTTAGAAAAAAACAAACAAAAAAATAGATTCCAATCAATATAATTTTTATTTAAAATACACCAGAGTATTTTGCTTACTGGAAGTAGTAAATTTAATCCTTTAGCTTTCAATTAAAGCTAAAATGAAAGCTTTTTAATTTATAAAAATTAATTTTAAACCTTAGGTATCGTGAATTAGTGGAGGTACCTAGGGTACAAAGTAAATATCATTTTTTAATTACATATGACTATTTTTTGTTCTTTTGTTTTACAAAGGCTTTAAAATACCATTTGAGAAATAAAAATAGATATAAAAGCTGAAAATCATGACAACATGAGATTTTTATCAGCTCATATGCATATACTACATTTATTGCCTCTTGCACATCTCCCTATAAAAATATTTTATCACAATATATTAGCTACTATCAGGTATGGGATATGTTAAAAACTAACACTTTTAAGTTCATAACTAATCTATTCTGCTCAGAAAAAGGGAATAGTCTTTAACAAATTAACAATTTCTACCGTATTTGGCAATTGTTTGTCTGACAAGAAAATTCTTTTGAAACGTTAAAGTAATGAAGAAAATAAAAGCTGAAACCTTGTCTATGTTGTGCTGTGTTCAAGAGCAAAAAGCACTGAAAGACAACTATAATTATTGTTTCACTCTTCAACCACAAAATCTTGCAGCAACATTTACATGGGATCATTAGACTGAATGAAGGTTTTGATATATTTGTTGAGATGGTTTATATAAAGTTATGAGTATTATATAAGAATTGAAAGCATTTACCTTAGCTCCAAATACATCTGCATCTCTGGGATATTTGTATTTATGGTAGCCACAAGGTGCATTACCAAGAAAAAGACTTTTCATTTTTTCACCACAATATTGATGCAAGATACGTTCTGCTGTCTAGAAAAGAAAATCATTTAAAAAAGATTACATGACAATTGTTCTTTCTGTTAAAAATAATTTCTTTCTTTTCTTCTGTCTGCTATTCATCATCCATTTTTAGAAAATGTCTCTCCAATTTTTGTTGTTTATTAATAACCAACCAGTTGTTCTCTTTCTATAAATCACCATTTTTTTCATTATCTTTATGAAGGTTAAATTAGCTTCATAGCCTTTAACAGTCCTGTGTCTCTTCTAATTTACTATAATCTTTTGAAAATATTTTTAAGAAATGCATGGCTCTCAAATATCCAAAACCAGTGAATTATTATTTTTTTTTTTTTCAATGACACTTACATGATAAAATTTACCAAATGGCAAATTGTAACATTTTTACACATACGTATGATGTCTAAATAAAATAAAATAAATGTTTCTTTGTCATTGAATTAGGATTGCATAAAATGAGTAATAGTCAAATAAGTAAAAAGTAGGAAATCTTTATGAATCACTATTTATTTAGCTTCATCAGAAATCTGATGAAGCTGAATAAATAGTGAAACATGTCAGGTTTATAAAAATTTACTACTTGTTCCTTATTTAAATATTCTGTTGGATTTTATATTTTCAACTTGTAAAACAAGTAAACAAATTTAGAGCATACATTGAAAACTATTTCTTCCCCATTATGATTCTAATAATCAATAAAACATAAAACTGTCAAATATTATCATTAAAAATAGGAGAAAGCGTCTCCAGTTCTAACATATTTAACATGACAAAGTAATAACTCATTTAAAAATGACGTTTCATTATTGAGGAAGCAAAACTAAAGCCCCCACACTAAAGCCATTCACTCAAGTAGCAAAAATAACTACATTTAAAAAAAAAAAAACAGCAAGCAAGTGAAGTAAATGTATATGGAAATGCAATATACTAACCTGTCGCATTGATTCTCCTGGTTGGTGTCTGCTTTGAGGCATTACCCAAGTCTCTTGGGTTCCCAATTTTTGTTTGACTAATAAGATCAGTTTACCATCAAGACATCTTTCAAGAGACTTTAAATCATTAGATTTGTCAGCTTCTGCAAAAAAAAAAAAAAAGACTGAGAAATTTTAAATCATTTCTTATTGCAGTTGACAAATTAACAAAGCTGGTTAGTGCTCACATGTGATATACACAAAAATATATAAGTAGGTTTCTTCTATGTGCCATGTCCCATCATTGGGTGATCATGGCTCTTCACAGCTTCCTGTTCTTTGTAACCTTTAGTAAAGTTTGTCTTTTTTGCGATATCTACCAATTCATCTAACCATTTACACAAGCTTAGGTAGGTTATGTGCTGCTTTCCTCTGTCCCTCTTGCCTTCAATATGTCCTGTGAGTGTAAAATTTTCCAAGTTCTTTTTGCTCATTATGTGCATTAGAAATTTCAAGTGTCTCTTTCTGATGCTATGTATAAGTGTCCTTTTTGTTGCCATTTTCTCAAAAATTTTGTTGTTGCTAGTATTCTCAGCATCTTTCTGTAGAACCACATTTCTGTTGCTTCAAGTCTCTTCTCCATCTGTAATTAGGTTATCCAGCATTCACAAGCAGATTTAATAAGTGCTTATAAATTTGTGTCAGGTCACCCAGTACTACCTGCCTAATGGTTGGCTTATTGGCAATTAAATTGGTTCCCTCACCAGGCTTTTCTGGTGAGGAGAATTAAAACAAAACCTGTCAAAGGGTGGATGAACCTACTGGGCTCCATAGCTATCAATGCAGTCAGTCAGGTGATGATACAGCTTGTTGGGTGGAAGGTTTCCTAGACTGGAGTCTGAACGGACAGGAGGGAGTTTTCCTCTGATGGAATGAACAGTCACATGTCCGAGACCAAAGAAAGCTTTCAAATTGAATGACCAGCTGTGGTTTGATCTGGAGAAGGATGAGCTCCACCAGATCTACTTACCCAAGACATACTACACATGAATGAATACCACTTTGGCTTTCAACCCAGATATATGGAGGGAACTGGTCAGGTGCTCAGTTGTGCATCAACCTTAAGATATTATCTTACTCATAAAAACTTTGGAATTTGATATTTTGAAATTCCAGTGCTTAATATGTTGAAGCATCTATTGTAATAACTTTACAATAAGTATTAGGAATGTATTAAATGGGGTGAAATGCAAATTCCTCAAACTAAGTCCTGATCAACGTAGATGATGTCAATATTACAATATTCTCATATTTGCTAAGCTTTGATTAATCTGACACACAGCCAAAAGAATAGGGCACACTGTAAAGATTAAACTCACTCCATACCAGACACATTTTTCATATATTAAGAAGTAATGTTTGAGAGGATAATGTTTTAATAATGCTAACTTCTAATTTGATATTTAGTCAATGTCTATAGATGCATATCCCCGGTCTTTTGATCAGGAGTAGGGGTTTATCCTTTATTTTTCCTGTTTAGGATTGGGTTTCTGCTTTTTTTTTTTCATTCTCTTTCACTTCCAATAGCCTGATGCATCTTAGTGGCATTATCACCCTGCTCAGGGTGAATTTATTCAATTTATTATATATGAAGAAACATAGTTTTAAGGTGTATTATATTTATGGGATAAAGTGCTCAATATTAGAGATAGAGCGTATGTAAATATAAAAGCAAACATTGAAGTCAACACTCAGAGGTAACAGGCTGTTTCATGCATCCAGCATGAAACAGCACATCGCCTCTGAGTGTTGACTTCAATGTTCACTTATATATATAAATGTGTGCATGTGTGTGGGTGTATATATTATGAAAAGATATTTTTTTTAATTCAGATATACATTTAATAAACAAAAGCACAAAGACATTACTTACCTGTGATTCGGGGAGCTGGAGTAAATGAATTGTATTCAATTTCCCATAAATCCTCAATTTCTGTTGTAGTTTTCCTTGCTGTTTCTTCCTTCAAGTCACTGTCATCATGCTTCTTGGCAGCAATTTTCCTAAAATATATTTACATTATTTCAGAAATAGAAAAAATGCTTTAATATTTTTCCTTTTCATGTTAGTCTGCTAACATTTACACTCTTTAAGTAGGATGTAAATTGAAAACAATATTTCAATTTCTAATATTAGCTAAATACTCATCCTACGAACAGTTGTCTGAAGTTCTCTCACCTCACTAAACATTTTTAGCAAGCAATCTATTTTGTAAACATCTTTTTGGCATTATGCTAAATCTACTTGAATTTCCTACTCTGGACATAGCTACATTGAACTGGCCATGAGAGAAACATCTGAATAATAATAATTAATTCAAGCTTAGTATTTTTTCATTTGTTTAAATAATTTAGGTACAGTTGTAAGAAAATCTAATGAAACAGATTATTTTAACTTATTTACATAATTTCATAACATTTTTTCAGTTGCATTTGTATTAATTATATTTGGATTTGGATTAATTTGTTGTAATGGGAATAGCAGATGACAACAATGCTTATTCTGAATGCTGTATGTTTTCTAACTTATGAATAAATTTTGACAAGACAGACATAAATTCTTTCTATACAAACAATGAATTTAAAAATAAACCTTTATCAATATAAACATTGCTTATATATGTGGTGATACTATGAATACCTATGTAGAAAAAAGATATGGTTTTATCTCAATCTCAAGTGTTTCTGTTTAATAGCCAGGTGGTCTCTTTTGAAGTCTAGTTTTCTTAGTGGCATCTACTTTAACCAAAGGGGAATGGGAAGTAAAAGAGTGGATGAGGGTTTTTTGGAGATCAAGTAGCAACAAAACTAGAAATAGGATATATCCTGGTCTATAATGGCAAATTTTAACACTTATTAAGTATAAATAACACGAAAGAAGTATTTATTAAAAATTTAAAAATTGCTTTGCAAATTAAATCTTACTGCTAATATTGTAAACACCATTTGTTATTAATATATATAAAAGGCTAGTAAACATTCCTCAGGCGTTAACAATGCAGGCTGTTTTGTTCTACTGCCATACAAACAAAATTTACCCTTATGTGAATTAATAAAAAAATGAATATATAGTAAGATATTCTATGACTTTATGACTTGGTAATTGGTATGGAAAGCCAATCCTCATATATGTTAGTTCCACTTTCTATCATTGATCTGTACCTTGTAAATACAATCTTAGTTTATGTAGCTACTTGCATCACACTGAGACAGCAGATTTTATGACTTTGACTATCTATTGTAACTGCTTCTTTGACAATCCATAGTAAAATTTTAAAAATAAATGGAGTTGGATCCCATAAGACCACTGTTTGATATGACAATGTTTTATATATAAGTTCATAGTTTTTATATTTAGAAATATAGTTCAGCAGTCTGCATTTTAATTAATAGCAAAAAAATAACTTTGTGGAGGAAAGTCTTTTAGCTTGAAGTAAATAGATTTAATGATTTCTGTTGTCTATTTAGTAACTTCTGCACCACACACATTCTTATTTCCTGGCAGTTACAATGCTGAAAATCCAGTCCCCAAACTAATCCCTTTTAATATGATTTCATATATATATATATATTATGTGTGCTTGGTTTCACTGTGTGAATTTGTTTCATTTTGTTTAAGAAAGTACCAATGCATTCTTCTGAAGGAGTGTTGGTCAAAAAGGATCATTTAAAAATACTTTTTGTATATTTAAGGCTATATATATATAATGTCAATTCAGGTGGATGGCTCATTGTGATGTAATGGGTAAAAGTTAGTCTTATGTATTATAACTGAATAAGGAATTTGAACCTTACAAATTGCTCCATATTTGTGGCCTTGTACAAAACCTAACCTACACTTTAATAAATAATTAGCCATCATAGCATGTTGATAATTATTAATGAATAGTGAGTTTAATACTCACCAAATGCCAAAACAAAACTACATTTATTAAATACTTACAATGGTTGCTTCAAAAGTAATACCTCCTATTTTATATTTGTCCATGACATCAGAAGCTGATGCCAATTGCATGGCAGTAGAGCTTGCCAATAACCTATAGTCTTTGCACTTCTACTGATAGCAGCAATCTGGCAAAATGGCATATGACATGAAAGTGCATAAAAAATGCACTCATTGACATTCATTAACACTTGCCAAACATTTACAGAGAATAAACAGTGAATACAAGTACAGTTAAGCAGTGGGTTGGTTGATAAACATTTTGAATACAATTTTATGGCTTCAACTACAAATAAAATATATTGTTGATCATTTTGCTAGAAAATGTATTGTTGGTATTTCTATTAGAAAAATGTATTGCTGGTATTTTTATACTTTCATAGTGTTTTGTTTATGTTTGGAAGTTCACCATTTACCTATAGCTGGGACCCTAACTGGTGCTATCACTCCAGGTCAGGGTGAACCTGGGAACAACAATAATACATTGGTTAGGCAGTGAGTAATGTGTTTCAGATGTGGTGACAGCAATGTATGTAACAGACTATAATCTGGATGCTGCTGCACAGCTCTTAACCGACAAAATGAATGAGAAATGCATAGCCAGTCATGATGACTATATGGGGAAAAATAGTGTTTTGCAACTGAAAATTTGCTCTATGTAATGCTGTTATTGTGCATCTATATCTGTTGTAGAAATAAATAGGATGTATTTATTTTGGAGCATCATTTGTATATACAATCCATTGAATATGTTGTGTACAAAGCAAATAAAAAAGGTACTTACTTGTCTTCCTGAAATCTCAGTTCATGGTCAGATAACAAACTATTTTCAATCTCCAATTGATTCATAAAATTCAAATATTTATTTTCAATTTCATTAAGATTAGCAGAAATTTGTGGTAGCCTTTCTAGGCAGACGGCACTGAACAAGTGCCATTTCTTTGAGTGATCATCTGTCAAAATATCTTGGCTGCTTACTGACATCAATCTGCCACAGATTCCAAATGGTTGGTTGACTGTAATAAAAGATTTTTACATGGTTATTAGCTGTACATTAATTCATAAATTGAATATTATCTGGTTCACAAGAAGGGGATCATGTAAATAAGCAATTAACAATTTTATATTGGTACAGAATGTTTGACAAGACTGTCTCTTGTCAAACATTCTGTACCAATATAAAATTAAACAAAAAATACAACATGAAAGGTTCCCAGACGTCATGAGTTCCAGCGACTTACGAGACTGGCATCCTGCTCTCACCCCTTCACTGTCGAAACTCCTAAATGTAGCCGTCTCTTCTACTCTAATAGCTTCATGTCTCGCACCTCTCACCTGTGGAACTCCCTTCCCTTTTCCTGTTTCTCTGTGAGCTATAATCTCCAGCTATTCAAGTGTAATGTCAATCGACATCTCCAGTTGCCTTGATCTATCACTCCTCTCTGATCTTGCTCTAAATTTTCTGTAACCCTTTGTGTCCTAGTGGCTTCGTGCCTTGCTTGGGGTGAAATGCTTTAAAAAAAAAAAAAAGAGAGATAAAGTTACAGCTGATTCATGTTCAAATTCTCACCATTAGGGTATAGTTTTTTTTCCATCATAAATTAAATACAAGACATAGATATTTGCTAAGTTTAGTTTAACCTAGTAACAATGGCAGAATATCTTATAAGAATGAAAGTCACTATATAACTAACCAGTTTAGTGAAACCAGCTTACTAATAATCACTCTATACCAATCTAAGCAATCCTAAAGAATGTTTATCTATATTACTTAATGGAATAAGATAAGAATAAATCACTTATTTATATTATTTAAAGGATTTTAAAAGAATAGATCTCTCATGTATATTACTTAAGTGGTCAATAAAAAAAATAGATCCCTTACCTACATAAGGGGTTAAGAACAGTTATTGTGAAATTTAATAATAAGTATGAGTAGTTAGTGTAATGGATATCAGCATGGAATTGGCAAGCCAAATTCAAATTCCAAGCTAGTTTGTTGCATTCACTTTCACATTCACCTTTGATGGAAAAGGTATGATTCTAGCTCTTCTCATAAATAGCAGCATATATTGGGTTCTCCAGCCTTAGGTAGTAACCAGTCTAAGAAAGAAAACTCTGAATTCAAACAGTAGAGAAGGCAATGAAAACCACTCCACTATATTTCCCAAAAAATGCCTGGCAATTCACAGATAATAAAGAAAAGGGAACTGCGGAGAGTTATGATCGCCTATGTCCTGAAGGAATGTCAGATGGCATTTTTAAAAAAATTGAAACTTACAATGTTTCCAAGTAGAGAAAACTTATTTGCTTTGAAACTCAGTTCTGGTCTTGAACACTGATTGCTAGCCTAATGGCATTAGGCTTAGGGGAAAATCTGCTACTGCACCTCAAGTGCAACAACACAGATACATTCTACGTTATTTACTGAGCTTAGCTTAGTGAGGCACAACTTTACAAGAATCAATTGAGGTGATAGATTTTACATTTATGTCAATTTTTGTTGAAGTATATCTCATGGAATCCTCCACATTTGCCTGTCACCCCTTTGGGAAGATGTACTCTTCCCCAAATAAACCTTTAACCAATCCTCACTTTACTTTTCCAAACTCAATCTCCCACTGGTTAAAAGGACATTAAAATGTAGCAAAGTTGAGAGAAACCTTTTTCCCTGCGCAGGTCTCTAGAGCCTATTTGGAAGCCTGAAAATCTATAAAAAGAATTGCTTGACTTAATTCAAGTTAGTCAGACACTGAGTTTCGAGAGATACCAGTAGACCCCATGCATGCCAACACACTGACTCAATAACCACTACCAACCCCTCAACACAACTTGCACAACTATTGCCGCGTGAAGAAGCTTAACCTACAATTTACTAAAAAGTTACATATCACTACAAAACAGTAATTGTATATTCAATCAACTTTAGCCTAACAGTTAAAGGCGAACAACTCTTCATAACTTAAATCAACACAAGCAGTTGTCACACACATACACACTATCACTTGAACTTACACAATTGATAATTTTCCTTGCAGATATCAAACTATTTTAATTCCACATACAAACTTAAACTATCAATCTTTACTCACTAAATTTCTGCATGGACAATCTTTGTAACCTCATCTCACTTGCCACATTTAACAAGCAACTTATTATCACTTTGTGTAGGTCATAAATTCACGTTATTGTTGAAATGTCTAATGACGTTGTTTTCAGTAATTTCTTGAAGTTGAATTGTCTATTTATTTTTGCTTGATTTATTTGTTGTGGATAAAATGCATTACGATCACGCACATTCTTGGCTTTCACAAAAAATCACCTTCTGATACATCTTAACTCAGCATAGATTCCGCAACAATCGAAAACACTAGTTTTTTTTTATTATTATCAAGTGAAGTAATACTTATTTTAAGTTAAATCAGTAGTTTACTTTTTTAATGTCATATCTCTTCTTCAGAATTTAGGCATTCAGGACTCTCCAATCTCCATGGATTCCGTTTTCTTTATTTTCTGTCTGTTCAAAAATACTAAACATAGGAAATCTTCGATATATATATATATTTTTCCTTTTGAGATGTGTGTGTGTGTTTGTAGGGAGGGGTGAATAGAATGATCAATCAGGGAAAATAGTAAAAAGAACCAATATTTCAGCTAAGCAACTATACCTCTTCTTTTCAAAGTCTTAATAAATTCAGGAAATTCTGTTAATTTGGAAATTAAATTTTTAAATCTGACAATCTTTGTTTTATTTAAAAATGTCAAGGTCAAGATTTTCACTGTTGCCAAAATCATTACTTACCCGAAATTTTTGCTGGGCATAACCGTGAAACTGATGATATAAAACTAACAAATTTTTGCATCATATCTAAAAATATGATTTTATAACAAACATTCAGTAACTTTGTTGCTGTAAGACACGCCGGTCACACTGATGAAAAAAAAAAGCAACAACCTTTGATTTACTGTTTTTATAAACTGACATTTGATTGGCTAAAAATTGCCAAACATCAATTGAAACATCAATTTTCATTTGTTACATTCAGCAACCGGTGTTCTTTATATTGTGCACCTTTTATTTATTGCTGGTGTGGGTTGGCGTGTAAACGCATTCATCTAAAAAGAGCTATGATTTTTAACTAAAAATAATGCATTATTTGGGCTGTTAAAACGACAATTAGAACCTTGAATCTACAGAAAATACCCAATTTTTGTAGCTGCTGGTCTTCTGACAATAATTCGGTTGTTTTGTGGATTTTACATGTATTCTGCAGTGCCAGATATGAGTATAAAAAAAATCTTGTCAAGACTAAATTGATAGATTTAAAATTGAAAGAATCAAGTTAACGTAAAATAATCCACTTTCACTCTTTTTTGTTGTTCCGTTTTACTTTTAACCTTTATATAACATCAAAAGTTATTTCCCTTTATCTGTACATATTTTTTGGGCTTCAATGCAATTTGGTTGTTTTTTTTAAAAAAATCTTTGGTATTTTTTGTCATGCCTTATATTATATATTTAAAAGGATTTTTCAAGAATTTTAATACTTTTGTGATAATGAAAAGTAAATATGACAAATTTAATTGAAATAAAAGATATTTTTGCAATTTTCTGTGTAGCAGTGTGAAGTGTGGCTTGTATTCGATTTTTAATGAGTATAAAAAAAAATGTTTTCACTTACAAATTGTAAATAAACGCGCTGTTGAGAATAGGAAATTCCAATTTTTGTTTTTCCAAAACTTAGTTTTTTTTAATCCAATGCGATTCCAAAAATAATGCGAAATTAACACGATATGAGATAGGTTAAACAATTTTGTTTTGTGACATTGGGCAATTTCATTATTGGTTATCTAACGATATTAAAAATATGACAAAAGTTGTTTTTAATTATTTATTTATTGTTGTTTAAGAACAAAAACATACCATTTTTCTTCCGTTTTTTTTTATTTATCTTTCTTCGAACTGAACCTCATATCATTTCAGGGAATAATAATACACAATTTTCACAGAAGTACAATCCCAACCAAAAGTTTAAGACAATCTAGCAAAAATTTTTCTATTATTGCAGGATATTGTATTTAACTTAACAATTAAGCAATATTACATTATCCGCAAGTTTGTAACGTAGTCTTGGCTAGTTTTAAAAGCTGTGCATTTGTTCTAAACTTTAAAACCTAAAGGTAATTTTCTATTAAAATGTGCAAAAATCGTCACTTTCTGACATTCAAAGAACATTACATGAAAGGGTTGCCCAGGGTGTGAAATCTTAATCCAAATGAGTTGTAGCAAGACCACAAATCACAATGCTATATAGTTATGCATTGTGTCCAATCAATATAATTTCTATTTGAAGTACACCAGAGTATTTTGCTTACTACAAATAGTAAATTTAATCATTTAGCTTTCAATTAAAGCTAAAAAGAAAGCTTCAAGAATGCTTTTTCATTTGTAAAAATTCATTTTAAACCTTAGGGATCAAAAATTAGTGGAGGTACCTATATAGCCATATACCAAGCCAATGGCTCCTGTTCTGACTGAAAAGAAAAGTGGATGTCCCAGAAAAAACAACCCTTAGATATTACCATATCATCAAATCCATGTTTTACAGTCTCCAAAAAGTTAACAAAAAAAATTCAAGCTGATCTGCTTCTTAGAAGTACGGATGTAAGTCATAGAGTTGTTTCTTGCAGATTGGTTAATTTCAACTAAGATTCTGCAAACTTGACCAAAAGCAAAAACTATGGAAATAAAAATGAAGTGCCTGACATTTGCCAGAAAGCAAGAACCTTGGACAGAGGAGCAATTGGGAAATGTCATGTTCTCTGATGAATCCATACAGCAGCACTTTGTTGTGAGCCAGTATTATTTCAGAAGGCATCTAGGAAAAAGGATATGATATAAAATATACCATACAAACTATGAAACACTTTCCCAACTAGATAGATGTTTTGGGGTGTAATTTCAATATTTGGAACATTTTGTTTATATTTTCTGTACCCTGGAACAATCATGAATGGTCAAAAGTATTTGGAACTGATGTAGTTTCAGTTATTTGGTACAATTCTTTGTGATTCTGTAGTGTCAGTGCACAATGTTCAAGAAGGATGATCTTTGCTAAGACCCTCAAGCTTTACTTGTTCAAAGCTTCTTTTTACCATTGATCTTAGGAAGCGGTTGTATACAGCTGACAGTTTAGGTATTTCTGAACGGGTTTGGCACCAGGCATGGCATCCATATGAAAGTCTCAATCTGATAAGGCTATTTAAGGACATAAATCAAGTTTTCAGGTTGATGCTTTGGTTTTGTAGCAATTTGCAGGGTTGGACAAAACTGTCTCTGGCACAGCCTATTCTATGTTCAAATTCTTTTTCTCCTATATTTAATTTGTTATGGCTGATCCCTATGCCAATGTATCTAAAGTGTTTAGTATTTACAAATTTCATATCCTGGATTTTTATGATGGGTTCAGGGTAGGTACCATCATTGCTTTCATTCCAATTCCAGATCATAGTTTCTGTTTTGGAAAGGTTTGAATCACATTTCTTGGAACACTTGATAGAGGATGCTGATTTCCTGTACAATTATGAATACCTATGTCATCAGGATAGCACCCTCTCATCATCAGTATATTGTCCTTGGGAGGGAAAGCAGAATTATTGTCTTCTAGTAGGCTCATTTGAACATGTGAACTTGTCAAGGATATCTGGACCACAGATTTCAGTAGAATATTGTAATTCTCATAATCAACATGTCTCATTGAAGCAGTTATCAAGGTTAAAGTTGGCCATACAAAATACTAATTTATGTTGGAATAAATAGAAAATAAACTGTATTTAATAAATTTGATGCATTTAAATGAATGATGTCTTTTATTTTTATGCTAGAGATTTTTAAGAAATGGGTGATCTCGGATTTTGGCCATGACTGTAAAGTGCTAAGTCTTTTCTTTTCAATTGTCAGTCTTGTATTATACATAGAACTCAAGTGGTAAAAGTTACAGCAGAGAACTGAAGGATAAGGTCTTAATCTCTTATTTTGTCCTTGTTGCAAAACTCGTTACCACAGCTACTTAATTTTAATTATCTTTTTTCTTTTATAAAAATGTTAATATTTTTGCTCATTCATTATTGTGAAGATAACAATTTTCCTGCATTGAAAACAACTTCTAACAGAAAGATTATTTTGTGATGAATAAATTGACAATCCTTTTACCCTCAACTCATCTTGCATATATTTAAAGAAAGACATCATTCATTACTCATCTGCCAAACATTTTTTTAAATATTTAATGTTATGACTCCAGTTTTTGACTTCACTAGATCTTGAGCTATTTCCTATGTATTTCCTTTTTAATTGTCCAGCATTATTCAGTTGGTGTGTATGTCTCAGTTCCTTTCAGAGTGCATATTGCCGCAATGTCACTAACAACTGTTCTAAGTTTAAAAGCATTTTCTCAGCTGTGCTTCAATCTCAATGACTGTGCACTCATCATAATTTTATTAGTGTTAGTTATTATTAAGATTTAAACTCATTATTGTTATCATTAAATACTTGCATAAAAAACAAGTTATTTTCAAATAAAATCAAAGAATAGAAATCTGTTGTCTCACACACTTTTTCAGCAAAAATAATGTTTATTACGTATTTGCCCTTTAATATTCAAAATTTAAATTTAAAATCTTTTTATACCTAAAAGTCTTGTATTATACATAGAACTTAAAGTTGGCCATACAAAGGACATTTGCACTTCATATCTTTTCATAATAATTTGTAATAAAATTATACTATAATTATTGTATATTAATACCAGATCCCAATTAGGCTAGAAGTATGTACTTAGCTCCAGGTATCATCCCTCCAGGCAGTACTACTACTATTACAATTAAGGAGGGTCAAGATCAGTACCTGATATCTGAGGTGTCTCAAAAATGCCTAGAGAGTTGAATAATTTTTGTCTTCACTCCCATGTATAGATAGGATTCTCACTTTAAACAAGGCCCTTGGTCATATTAAATTTAAGTTTGCATGCTGATAACTACATTGAGGAATTTAAAATGAATTTATTTACAACAATAAAAAATCTTTAGGAAAGTGTGTAAGGATCCTGACAGGTAGCCTTATAGTAATATTAACATTCTCTGTGCAAACAACATATTTCCTATCAGATTCCAATATATAGTGACAAGAAGAAGGTTTAGCAATGGGATCACCATTAACTCCAGTAATGATAAACATATAAATAGAATGCTTTGAGGAAATTGCTATAACAATGTCAGCAGTAAAGTCAACTAAATAACTTATATATATAGATAACGTTTGTACTCTGGACTCACCAGGAAGATGTGCAAGCACTACTGGATCACATGAACTTGATAAGACCTTATATAGAATTCACAATGGACAAACAAGTAGAAAATCAACTGGCTTTCCTGGATGTTTTAATAACCTGTACTGAGTATGGGTCTCAAAACATCTGTGTATCTTATGCCAAAATTCACCAGACAATACCTCATTAACTATAAACTGTCAAAAAAGAGGGTATTTGTTGCCTATAACATGTGGCCAAACTCATGTAGCAACCTAGATATATACTAAGAAGAGGTAATCAACATACCTGCAAACATATCAACTTGTATGAGCAGGGACAGAAGAGTCATGGTCAACAATTAAAAAATCTGTCATTGTCTACAGGTGTAGATCTGGAAAGATTCAATGAATCTGCACTTCATATGACATCAAAATGGTATTCAAAAGTAGTTCAGCCTTTTGGAAATATCTTTCCTTACACACACCCCCATAACAAAACCTGGACAAGAATTATCTGTATTCTATCCCATACAATTGTAGCAAGGAATACAAGGG